AGGCTGCTGTGCATTTTTCAGCTCCGCCTCCAGCCTGGCCTGCTGCAGAGCCTTCTCCTGCAAGGAGGGGCGTCCTCTTTTGCGCTTCACTAGCGGTGGTGGAGCATTGGAATCTTTAGCAGGCGGCTGCTTTTGAATAGAGCCGGCCACGGGTGCAGGTTTTTGTTGTTTGATTTTCTTGATCATCAACCATTTGGAGAGCGGCAGCTGGTCGTCGCATTCGTCGCTTGATTCGTCACATTCATTTTGAAAGGAATTCGTGGGCTCCTTTGTGATCTTGATAGGATTGGACACTGTATCACGTCTCCTTGTCAAATAAGAAGTTGTGTTTTGTGGAGTATGTGTGGAAACACACGTATTTCGACGTTTAATGGAATGGACCAAAGAAGCTTTTTTATCTTCAGTGGTAGCTCGTGATTTTCCGCGCTGAGATGACTTGGAAACACTAGTATCTCTAGGCTTAATGGGATTCATAACGACATCATCTAGAAGTTCGTTTGAGTCTTGATCCTTAATGGGATTAAAGCCAGAAGCCTTTGGCAAGGCAAATGTGGGTTGGCGCTTAAGGGAACCAAAGATGGGATCATCGGACGAGGAACATGAATCACTGCGCTTGGTGGACATGTCTGTGAAAGCACAAGAACGTGATTCTCGACTTTTGTGCGGACTCAAAGTAGGAGCAACATGCGAGGTAGAGGTATCTTGGCGCTTTATGGAACTCAAGTTAAGTTCATCTGACGAGGAACACGACTCATCGCGCTTAATAGAAATAGCTGTGGAAACACTAGCACGTGATTCTCGGCGTTTAATGGGATTAAGAACTATATCATCTGTCAATGCAGATGCATCTTGGTTCTTTTTGGAATAAACTTTTGTAGTCGATTCTCGGGTTTTGCGCTGATTCCAGATCTTAGCATATTCGGACTCACGTGGACTTTTTAGCTGAGAACTAGCAGTGGAAAGGCTTAAAGACCTTCGCTCTTGGGCAGAAGCATCAGCAACGGAATGCGCAATGGTATCACGACGCTTGCCTGAACTAGGGGCTTTACGAGGAAGTGAATGCGATATGGTATCGCGGCGCTTGCTAGGAGTGGAAGTTCTAGGGCGAGAAGAATGGACGCTAGTTGGTTCAAGAAACTCTGCAGTCTTCGGTCCTGTGGTGAACCCTTTAGAAAGGGATTCCAGAAAAGCTTTACTAGGTCGGACCAGGTATTCGGTCCTTATCGGTATGTTTGGATCCTGGTGGTAGAATAATAACAAATAAATCTTTTTCTCAAGAATAAAAACGAGGCCACTTGAAACTTACAGTGCTGGTCTGAATGTAATAGGGATTGTCCCAGGAATCCAGGAAAGCAGCGAAAATGACGGCCCATTCTGAATCTGGGATCGAGGAAGTCCCCAAAATGGTTAAAATCTGCTGCCAGCAGGACATTTTATAGCGCATTTTCATCTTGATTCAGTTTTTTTCACGACCACGCACAAGAATTTGATTTTGCAAGTTTTGCGGTTGTTTCCGGTGTGACCATGAGAATATCTTTTTAAGCACGCGGCAGGACGAGTTGCATGTGGGTCCAAATTACCGGCGTTTGTGGAACAGTGGAATATGGGACATGGGGTGTCATTTAATTTCATTAAACAAAATTTAAATGCTGATTTGTTTGGAAAAGCAAAAACTAAAAAAGTTTTTGAGACTACGTCTTATTTAAACTGAAAATATTTATAAAATGTAATTTCAAATTTTTTGGAATATGTACACAATATGAAATAAGTTGTTTCCATCATTGTAAGAAAAACAACCATAGCTTTATTCGGCTTGTGCTCGTTAATAACCACATATTTCACAGAAACTGATACCGTGTTACTATCTAGACAAACTTTCAATAATTTATTACGCTCTATACTGGGCAGGATTACTTAGAAATTTTTATAATGTTATTTTTTTGAAGAAAGAATCGAACTTTGAGTCATAATTTAAAATTTCCACAAAACGTGCATGGACAATTTTTTTAAATTTTTTTAAAAAGATCTTAGCATATTTGCATCAAATATTAATTTTTTTAAATTCTTTTTTAAAGTTGTGTTTAAAACTAAACCATTTCACGACCATATTAAAAGCCTTCACAACTGGTCATGATCAATAGGTATTCCTATTCCTCTGAAGAATTCACGGTTTCATATGACTTTTATCAGTCAAAAATAACAGTTATTTTTAAACTTTAACATAACTGATTGCTAGAACTTTGTTCGATCAAAAAGTACTGTTATTTCTGGCTTATTTAAAAGCCCGGAAATATTCGATATTTTTTGACCACTTTAAGTTTTTTAAGTCATTGCGGAAACTAAGAGGTCGCTTTAAATGGGTTTTTTAAGAGTTTTAGTATCCTCCTAAGTGTGTAACAACTGTTATTTGCGGTCCCCAGATTTTTTTGTCTATAATATCACAATGCGTTGTTTAAAAATAAAACACCATCCCTTAGAGATTCACGGCCTTCCATTTTTGTATGTTTAAAATGTATAAACAAACACACACGCTCAAATGTGTGCATTTATGAATTTATTGGTTTTGCTGTTAGTCTGGCGAAATTACAAGGAATTAAACTAATTAAAATTTCTAGACGATATAGAGAAATCAAAAGTCAGAATTGTACTAATCATAAATATTTGCACAACGCACGCGGCCAGTTGCAGTCGAGCTAGAGTCCTAAGAAGTACATAAATGCCTTCCCGCAGTTAGGAGCATTGTACGTCGAACAGCTCGCAGATTCCTTCGTCGCTTTTCAAGGCAAAGTTAAAGTCTTCCTGGGGTGGATTCAGCTGCACCAGCGGGGGGTTTTCTAAAAGTAAACCAGCAATTTAGAAAACGGTATTTTGAAAAGGCGACCAAGAAATGCCAACCTAGATTCGGATCATCAGGATAAAATCGTCGCAGCGAGTGCCCTGACAGGTAATTTTGGAAGATGATCTTTGCCGTCAGTTCGTTCTCGAGGATCTTCATCTCATCCTTCATCTCGGGATTGCACGAGTACCCGTGCTCATCGGTAATTACGTTCCCCGTGCCCGCTGGGGTGTTACCATCCTCGCTGGAGTGCGAAGATGTCGAGGGCGAGGGCGTGTCCAGGCGGCGATAGTCAAAGAACCCGTCCGCGTCGTGGGGATTTGTGGTACTCTTGCCCTGGTTCGTCACCAGACGTATGTCGATTGTGCTGCCATTATCGAGCGAGACGGCCAGTTCGTACTGCAAATAAGGAGACATGGGTTTAGGATGATTCCACTCTTATACTGACATCATACAATATAACAAAAGAAGAGTGAGGTCGACAAGCGTTAATAAGGTAGATATAAATGTATATATCTTTATATATAATAAAAGAAAAGAGTGTGCCAAGACATAAAAGATACAAGCTTCCATTATTTAACTTGATCAAGTAAACAATTATAAAAGAGGCAATGTAACATACATGATTTCGCTTGATATCCACTTCCTCGTCATAGTTGGGTATGGTGAATACGGAGTCATCTCCAAAGATGTTCAGTAGATCGTCACGTGTCACATAGGCGTATGATCTATTTGAGGGATCCTGCATCACGTAGCGCAGATTGCGCTGTGCATACTCCAGTTGCTTGTCTAGATCATCCTCCAGCATTTTCAGGTGATTGGTCCGGCTACGCGCCATGTCGTAGTCCTCCTGGTCCTTGGCATTGTTAAAGCCCCCACCGCTAATAAAAAGTATACATATTTAAATTAAAGTATGAGGAACTTACTAATATAAAATATGCATAGCTTTTGTCCGATGCTGCCCCACCTGTTTGTTTCTAGGTAGTTATTTTTAATAATTCTCATTTATTTTGAAGTTAACCCAAAACAGATATTCTAGGTCTGGCTCATGGTTAACGCTATAAAGCCTTAACAAAATAGTTTAAACCAATATGGCAAGTAGTTTTTAATGTCTTGGAGTTAAGTGCTACTTGTTTGGGTATTTTAAATGTTAAAGACGCTTTAGCCTAATATGGAATCTTTAATATATGGCACAACAATTAATTTAGAGCCCTGTTTGTCAATTAATAACACTAAGATTGCACAAAATTCCACCTGTTTGTACAGTCGTGGTGTATTTTGCAGAGCGATTGCCACCCCATTCGCTCCCTTTACAAGTAATTTCTACAAAGTTCGAGTTGACTGAGTTCGCCCTAAAATGCAAATGAGCACCTACCGCCAGCGCACTAGGGAGCAGTGTCTGCCCTTATCTATTAGTCCAATGCCCTCCAGAACATTGGTAATGTCGTATATTCGGCGCTTCTGTACGTCCAAGATTTTGGTGGCCTGCAGAGGGGTAGATAAAGGGCTGATTTAAGGGTGAACGCTTATATGTAAGTCCGGATCGTACCGCTTTCAGATCGATGGAGCCGCCGTTGGCCTTCATGAGTTCCACAAACTTCTGGGTGAGCAGGACCAGGGAGCCCACGGATCGCTGTTGTCCCGGCTGTGACTGCGATTGTGATTGCGAAGGGGACTTGATTGGCGTGGGCGGATCCGGGGATGTGTCCATGCTGATGGATACGGGCTCATAGGTCTGCGAATGGGCCTGAGATTCATCCGAATCCACGTTGCCAGCGCCCATCATCATCTTCATCGCAGAGGAGGTGCCCGCTGCGGAGCTGCCTTCTCTTTTAACAATACTCGCTGTTTTGCGCTTATACATGGTCCGCAAACGATTCGATGGCTCTTTTCCCGTTCTGGTAACTCTTTGTGTGCCTGCACTCGGTATGCACTGAGCAATAATCGCGAATTAATTGGAGTTTGGAGCGAAAATTAAATGAAAATACGAATGTTGGCGCTAGGTTTGCTTTCCGCCATTTATGTCACTTTTTTCATTCTCCCTCTATTCTGTGTGCGCGCTGCGCAGTGTGGCAAAGCGACGCGCCTTTATGCGATAGTTAATCGATGAATCGATCTGCGCGCACCTTGCAGCACTGCTTTTTATTTAAATTTATTTCACATTTATTTTCTTTTGTTTGAATTAATCTTCATAGGCACGTGCAATTTGATTCTTCAGCTCTGCTTCGGACCGTGTCCTGCAGCTGCTTCAGCTGTGCATCCCTCAGCACATCCAATATTTTCCACTTGGTCTCGAAAAATACCTCATCGCTGATTTGCTCCAAGTCTATTCGAATTACCTAAAAACTAAAATTTTAGCTAAAAGTACATATAATGTTCACAAGTTCTTACATCGCAAAGGTTCGCTATGTGTTGCGCCTTATACTCCTTAGGAATCGAACTTTTTTGTGGTATTGCAACTTTTGGTTTCTTTGCCGGTTCTTTACTGCTTTCTCCATTGAGGACAATCAACTTCTTTTGGGTCAGCAGATTGGCTCTCCGATTGCGTTTCATGTTAAAAGCATTCGTCCTTTGAGGATTCTGGGATTCGGAATCGTTGTTGGCGAATATGCTGATCAGGTTGTGGTAATTTTTGCTAAAGGTGCCCATGAAGCTGGAATTGGGCATAGCCTTTTTGTAAGGACGACAAATTTACAAAAACATAATTAATTTTGAAAATCTCAGTGACATTGATAAAGATGAATGTAAGTCCTGGGTTGAAAACATTTTAAAGAATTTTTCTTTGTTTTGGGAGAGTCCTGTTTTTTTCTTAGTTTACAACGAATCAAATTTAAATATTGCTTTGAATGGGTCCCATGGAAAGAGCTTAATGCTACCACGTAGTTCAAAACTTATTGATTGTGGAATATTAAAGTGCATGCCAAGATGGTCCTTTTTCGAAAGTAATTTGAATACTTATTTTAAACATCGCATAAACACGAGGGCGCGCCACGTTTTCTTGGTCAGCAAAACCGCGCTTCGCAACACTAGCTATTCCGCCGTTTGTTTTGTTCCCTCATTCTGCTTTAGGGAAAAAAAATCAACGTGCCTTAGTTTTGAGGTCAAAAGTATTTCCACATTATTGTGATTAAACAATATACCGGCAAAATGCCAGCCAAGTCAAAGCCTCGACTTTCGCGCGGTGTCCTGGACATGAAGTTCATGCAGCGCACAAAGGTCAAAGTGGAGAAGGAGGCGGACGATGAGCAGAGTAGGGCACTGTACTCCAACGAGATCAACCAGAAGATGTTGAACTCCACCTCGAACTTCATCGTGGAATCCAGCTATTCGATATGCGCCGGCCTGATCGACGGACGCCTCAGTTTTCGCGGCATGAACCCCGAACTGGAGCTGCTAATGGAACAGGAGCTGGCGGAGAAGCAGGGCCGCACAAAGCCGGAGCAGCCCAAGGAGGTCTCCGACCAGGACATGGCCAAGGCCTACTATGCCAACAAGGCGCCCACGGTGGCCGGCAGCATGGGCAAGAAGTTCAGCACCAAAAAGGACTTTAAAAGAAAAAACAACGGCAACGAGAACGGCAGCCCGCATCCCAAGAAGAAACAGCAATTCAAGAAACCGCGCTCGGATGACGATTAGTTTACTCCATAGTTGTTACACACTGACCTAGCTACTAGTTAAATAAAATAATCGAATTCAATTGGATTCGCTCAGTGGTTGTTTCACCGCCTGCAGGGCGTAACACATCTGGGTGTTGTTGATCCACCGCCAGGTGTTGTTCCAAAAGTCGTAGGTGCTTCCATTTACCAACACCGTCTGGCAGTTCACTGCAAATTGAGAGAAAAAGGGTATAAGTACAGGTTGGTAAAATTGTAGTTTTGCCTTTCTACCTAAGCATCAAGGTTTTTGGCAGAAAACCCTACCTTGAAAAAACTATCCCGATTTTATTGATAATACAATGAGGCTAAGAAAAACACAGTAAAACTTTCTAAGCCAAAGCCACTTTCTGTCGAAAGGTATTTCCAACTATCAGGCTGACCTGATAGTATGTCAAGGACCCAAGCTTTAAGGATAATACTCATCCAAAAATAATACTAAGAGATAAACCTACTTGTATCCAAGATACGCTGAACATCCAATGGGGATATCATCTTGTCCCAGTGATGCGTTCCCTTGGGCACCAGATTCAGTACATATTCGCTCAGTATAACGCCGCCGAACCAACTGGGGATGGTTTTGTTTAAGGTGGTGATGAAAATGGATCCTCCAGGCTTGAGGGTTCGCACACTGGCCTCCAGCAACGCCACTTTGTCGTCGACATGCTCCAGAACTTCAGATACTATTACAGCATCGTAGGATTCACAATTCGCCTTGGCGTGCTGATCTACGGGCTCCATTTTGTACATCACTTTGCTGGCCAGTTCCGGACTGGAGCACTTGAGATGATCGCGAGCAGCTTCAATTAACTTCTCGCCCAGATCTATGCCCGTGACCTGGGCACCCAGGCGAGCCAGCTGCTCCGTTAGCAGCCCACCGCCGCATCCAACCTCCAGAATATTCTGTCCCAATAGCACCTTGGTGGTATTTACGTAACCAGGCTTCACTGTGCCCCGCGAAACGATGCCATCTCGGATGAAGGGAACCCTAAAAGAGGCACAACTCTTCAGCAATATGTACAAGCCGCTTGGAACTCGGATCTCTTACCTAATCTCATTCAGGGCATGCAGAGCACCCATGGTTCCATTTTGATTCCACCACTCAGTTGCATGGTTCTCATGGTGGCGCACTTCCTTTTGGGTGCCGGCATCCAGTGACGTCGCTGTGCTGCTGCTCCTGGTCGAATTTCGCACCAAAACTCCAACCAGCGATTGTCTCAGCTTGCTGGAATGCCGAATCTTGTTATTTGATATATTATTGCAGTTTTATTTTTCACTTACCCGCTGGCAAATAATGATTTTCGCAGCATTTTTGAGAGCAATAACAAACTTTGATTAAAACAGCTGACTTTGTTTTGCTGCAAGTGGCGTAGACAGGGTCGTAGTAAGACCTTTGGGGGTTTTAAGGAGCGTAATGAAAGTAAATGCTTATATATTCTACATATTGTTTTGTAATTTTTAAACGTAGTGTAGATTCAAATTGTAGGTTATATATATTTTTAAAAGCCTAAATTGTAATCCCTTGTCCTCCACCCATGAAAAGTCAAAATGGAATGAGAGAGAGAACAAACGGAATGAAACACTACTGAAAGTTCCGATCATTGGTTCTTTATCATTCTTTAAATTGAGAGAGAACCATCTATATCAACTGTCATACCGATAAAGATAACAAAGCCTTTGTGGCTAATCACAATCTTTTAATTTTTCGACATGCCGGATTACAAGAAGCTCGAAAACCAAGAAGCCGATGTGGAAAATGGCCAGGCCACTGGACAGGACACCGAGGAGAGGCAAAGGCCGGCGGAGAGTCAACAGGCGGCCCAAATGGTGACAGTGTCCTTGCTCATGCTTCTTTTCCTCGGCAGCTCCTACTTCCAGGTATTTAAACAATCATAGATTCACACTAATATACTTTATTTAATCCACTAATAATCCTTATTTTAGCCCCGGCCACGCCTCCATCAGTATCGTGGAGCCGGAGGCCATGGACTGAGGGGAAAGGTCGACTGCGACATTCAGCTGGTGGAGTCCATACCCATTGGCCTAACATATCCCGATGGCAGCCCGAAATTCCTGAGCACCTACGAAGCATGGCAGCAGCTGTTGGACAGCGCGAAGACCTCACTGGACATAGCTTCATTCTATTGGACACTCAAGGGTGAGGACACGCCCGGTGTGGACGATAACAGCACTCAGCCGGGAGAGGACATCTTCGCCAGACTGCTGGCGAACGGAAATGGCGGCAGCCGGTCGCCCAGGATCAAGATTCGCATTGCCCAGAGCGAACCCTCCAGTGTGTCGCCCAATTCGAACACGAAATCGTTGGCCAGCGCAGGAGCTGCCGAGGTGGTGAGCCTCTCCTTCCCAAAGTACTTCGGAAGCGGAGTACTGCACACGAAACTGTGGGTGGTTGACGGTCAGCACTTTTACTTGGGCAGCGCCAATATGGACTGGCGGGCCCTCACCCAAGTCAAGGAGATGGGTGTGCTCGTCCAGAACTGTTGGGAACTTACACATGACGTAATGAAGATCTTTGAGGAGTACTGGGCTTTGGGCAAAAGTGAAAGCTCTCAAATTCCCCATTGGGGATATGAATACCAAACAAACTACAATTTAGAGAGTCCCATGGGGATAAAAGTAAACAAGAACACCAGTATGAATGGCTTTCTCTCCAGCTCCCCGCCCCCTCTTTCGCCTTCGGGACGAACAAACGACCTGGACGCCATCCTCAACACTATAAATTCAGCTATAACTTACGTAAACATTGCGGTTATGGACTACTATCCGCTGATTATCTACGAGAAAAACCACCATTATTGGCCATTCATCGACGATGCACTGCGGCGAGCAGCTGTGGAGCGGGGAGTGGCAGTGAAGCTCCTTATCTCCTGGTGGAAGCACTCCAATCCCAGCGAGGACAAGTACCTCAAGTCCCTCCAGGACCTGTCATCCAAAAAAGATAACATTGATATTCAAATTGTGAGTATTACGATTATAAAGTGGGTAGATATTTTATTTTGGTCTTAACCGAGTAGAACTCCAAACACTCTCGTTAAACTTTTTTTTAAGTATTTGAAAATATTATTGTTAAACACCCAATGACATATTGCTTAAAAAACTAACTATAGGACGGTTTACTAAAACATTTAATCATTCGAAATTAACAAGGAATTTTTAAATTGTTCCTCTACAGCGTCGGTTCATTGTGCCCACGGACTCAAGCCAGGAGAAGATTCCCTTTGGTCGGGTGAACCACAACAAATATATGGTCACCGACCGAGTGGCTTACATCGGCACCTCCAACTGGAGTGGCGACTACTTCACGGACACTGCCGGCATCGGCTTGGTACTTAGCGAAACCCACGAAACCGAGAGCACCAAAAACATAAGAAGCGACCTGCGCAACGTTTTCGAGCGGGATTGGAATAGCAAGTACGCCACACCACTTCAATAATCCCTCCATGCATTTATTTCATTCCACTTGTTTTAATCCGATCCCAAAAATTATTCAAAGTATTTAAGAACAACAAATTGTTCAATCCTAATCATTGCTTTTATTCAGTTTTGATTATGCGTGAGGGGTAAATAAAGAGGCTCGTTTTACGGCCATAACGGAAAATACAAAATAATACGTGTACTCTATGAATTGGAATAATGTAAGTGTTTAAAGTATGTACAGTGAGTAAACAAATTATATAACGAGGAGACTCGGAAACCTAAAAGCGATTTCTGTAACTCATCCGAAAGAACTTAAATTCATGAATTCATCTCTGTTTTGCAGTCACATGGTTTGCTTTTGATTTGTAACATGTGTCCTAACTGCATTTAACCAAGCTGCCTTGCTAGTCGCTAAATATACGTTAAATACACTTTTCAACATTAACGTTTGAACTAAATTTAGGTTGGGCGAACGCCTTTGTCGTCATCTACATGAGAATCGCTATCCATCTAGGGGTGCATGGATCTATTTGGGGCCAGCTCCTCCATCACTTGACGTTGGCGCCGCGCCTGAGGAAGTTATTGCTGGCGATACTCTTCTCGATTGCCACATGAATGGAGGAAACGCGGGCAAGGAGCGTGTTGTAGATCAGCAGCAAACAGCGCGCATCGATGGCTGAAAGGAAAGGACATTAGTCTTCTTGGATTTGGGAGAGCCAATCCCCGACTTACCGGCATAAAGAATCTGCTCGCGCCGCAGTGGTCGATTGGCCCAGTTGGAGCACTGATTTGACTTGTTCAGCTTCTTGCCGAGGCACACCAAGGAGAGATCCGTGAGAGCGTCCCCGGCCCGATTAATGTTACCAAAGGGAAGCTCTATTCCGAAACGCTGCTTCTTCAGCTCCAGCCAAAGATTGCGAAGGTCCAAGTAGTGGTGAGGCATTTGAAGGCGTAGTTGCAGTGGCAGTGAGCGCTGCAATACACTGAGATCGCTGACCATGGAAAAGCCCACCTTGAGGATGTTCACGTTGTTAAAGATATTCGCGCCCAAGAGCCGCCAGTGCTCTGTGCGCAGACTCTCCTTCGCCAAGCAATCAATCAGGTAGACATTGTGGCCTGTGGCGATCTGCAGAACGCACAGCTGGCTGTCCCCGCACACGTTTTGCATCCACTCCGAGTCCAGGTAGATGATGTGCTCCTGCTGCAGGTGGTACAACATGCGATCGAACTGTGCCGCCTTGTCCACAATGATAAGGCACTCGTCGTGTAGGTCCATGGTCAGGTACATATCACAGCCACTCGCCGCGCTGCTGTCTTCCTCGCTGGGAGATTCCCAGCCTGCAGCTTTGACAGCGCCATTTTGCGAGACCTGCGTTTTGATCTCTAGCGGACAATCATTTGCAGTTATGTTGAACTCCTTGTACCAGTAGATGGCCTCTGAATTAGCTCCAGCCGAGGCAATGTAGCTTACGAAATCCTTGCGCAGGGCGTAGTCATAGGCGTGCACGCTCACCAGCTCCCGGAAGCTGGCCAGATTGATACGCGCTTTCTCGTACTCGCGGTATAGATAGTGCAGGTAGCTGCACGTCTTGGTGAACTTGTAGTTGGGCGTAACCGCATCGTCAAAGCCATATTTTTTGGCCAACCGAGCCACGATCTTGGCAATGGGCCGATAGCTAAGCACGTGGTGCGAGATTTTCAGATTCTTGTAGCGACTAAAGTAAATAAATAGAGTTTAATAAGGGTTGGGATCTTTACTCATTCATAACTTACTCCAGCAGATGCTCGCATAGCTCTATTACCGGCTTCTCCTTGTGGAGCAACGAATCCAAGAACTTGACAAAAGGCAGGCGCTGCTGTGTGGCATGGTCCAGATACTCCTCTGCCAACGGCAGCTTCTCGATGGCAATCAGTGGAAAGGCGAGCTCCATCATGTCGAACTCGTCCGTCAGCTTCAGGCTAATAGACCACTGAGTGACCTCCTTGTAGAGCCCGTTGTCCAGAAGCTCTCGCAACTTGGGCACCAACAGATCGCGGATCTCGCGCAGTCCATAGGCATAGATCACAGCATTGTTGAGGCTTAGCAGGCCAGAGGTCTTCACAAAGTTAAAGGCAATCATGCTGGTGTTTGGGTCACAGCCCTCGCCGAGGTGCGGGTACTCCTCGTGAAGCTTGCACACCGTGTCCAGCACAAAATGTGACAAACTCTTCGGCTTGATGTTGCTGCTGTCCGGGCAGTTGGCGAATATCTTGAGGGCTAACAGGAGGGGCTCCTGGTGACCCATTAAGGCCTTTCCAAATTCCTGTTGCAGATGCGGCGACTTGTTCTTGCTGTACATGTTCCACTTTTCGCGAAACAACTTGAAGAACTCCTCCGCCTCCGCGTCCAAAGTGGCGTCGAAGTTACGCCCATTGATCCCGGCACCTGTTGTGATGTCCTCCAGGCGCTTGATCTTCAGGTTGGCCATCAGGTTGTCCATCTCCTCCTCGTCCGACTCCAGGCCGGCGGGTATTGCGTTGTACATGTGACTGTGGCTCTTGCGTGCCATTTTCCGCCGGCGCCGCTTTTTCCGGATGAGCGAAGCAAGTACAATTGCCAATTGCAACTGCAATTGACAAGACAAAATTTCGCCTGCGACTTATCGAGTCGCCAACAACAAAAAACGCTTGCAGAAACCGCCAATAGTGCTGGCAATTCGGTGGTTTTATATCTATCGCTTTGTGAATACGGTATAATATGTTATTGTTACCATTTAATGCCCGCCAGCAGAAAAATAAATAAATGGAAACAGCAACTTATACCAACTGATACAATGATAGGTATGTTTTTTTCAATTTCAATTCAAATTGAAAATATATTTATTTCTAGCTATATTTTTAACCTTTTTTGAAGCTTAATTTTTATTTCCCATTTTCAACGCGGTGGCTACTCTGCACAGCTATTCGGCGACTTGGCAACCCTGTTGAGCGGCACACGTGCGATTTTGTTTTAGTTTGCTCGTGTAAAAATGAAGTTGGCTCCGAAAAAAGTAAAGACCCTGGGCAAATCCAAGCCCGGGTTAAGCAAAAAGAAGCCCGTTAAGGATGCCCTGAAGAAGACGAAAGCCAAGAAGGCGGAATCCGCCTCGGAGTCAAAGGTTATCACAAAGAAATCAAAGCCAAAAGGCACTGTGGCGGTGAAAAATGGGAAGTCAGCTAAGAAGGGAGCCAAGAAATCACACAAGGAGGAGCTGGAAGGACTAAAGGATATTGATCCGGAGTTCTACGATTTCCTCAAGAAGAATGACAAGAAGCTGCTGGACTTTAATCTTTTGGACAGCGACGATGATGATGACGAAGAGGAGCAGGAGCAGGACAAGACCAAGAAGGCGGCTGAAGAAAGTGAAGACGATGAGGATGACGAAGAGAAGTACCATAAGCCCAGCGAGGATTTGGCTGTGGCTAGCGATGAGAGTGACTTCGAGGAAGAAGATGAGGATGAGGCCGCATCTGGAGCCACACAGAAGATCACCCTTAACCTGTTGCACCAGTGGGAACAGCAATTGGGCCAGGCCAACGTCTCCATCGACATTGTGCGCAAGGTGATCCAGGCCTTCAATTCAGCCCTGGCCAGCATTTCGGCCGACGGAGCTGACGGCGGCGAAAACCAGCCCAATGCAGCCGCATTTAAGGTCGTCGGAGCAGCAGCCTTCAACGGAGTCATCCAGCTCTGCGTGATCCACCTGCAGCCCGCCATTATCAAATTGCTAGGCGTTAAGCCCAACAGCAGCCTACCGCTGCACAAGCACAAAAAGTGGGTCAAGGTGCGCGGCTGTCTGCGCTACTACCTCACAGATCTTATTCGCTTGGTGGAGCAAGTTTCGAGTCCCAATATTCTGGGAGTGCTGCTCAAGCACCTGCATCAAATGGCCGGCATGGTGGTGCCCTTTTCGGCCCTAGGAAAGACCATTTTGAAGCGATTAGTTGTGCTCTGGGCCACTGGTGATGAAACCGTTCGAGTGCTGGCCTTCCTCTGCATCCTGAAGATAACCAGGAAACAACAGGTAGATTCAGTTGCCTGATTTGTATATCCATTTTGCTTACATTAATAAATCTTTTCAGGCCACCATGCTTAACCACGTTCTGAAAGCCATGTACCTAGCCTATGTGCGGAATTCCAAGTTCGTGTCCCCAAACACCCTGCCCGGGATCAACTTCATGCGCCGGTCGCTAGTTGAGATGTTCGCCCTGGATCTAAATGTCACCTATCAACATGCCTTCCTCTACATCCGTCAGTTGGCCATCCACCTGCGAAACGCAGTGATCCTTAAAAAGAAGGACAGCTTCCAAGCAGTGTACAACTGGCAATTCATTAACTCCCTGCGCCTGTGGGCGGATCTCCTGGGAGCAAGTGCAAACAATCCGCAGTTGCAGCCTCTGGTTTATCCACTTGTTACTATTGCCACTGGCGTGATCCGATTGATACCCACCGCTCAGTACTTCCCACTGCGATTCCACTGTCTGCAGACGCTTATTTCACTATCGAAGGAGACCAATACATATGTACCAGTGCTGCCGCTTATTGTGGAGGTCTTAAAGAGCAACACCTTTAATCGTAAGCATTCGGCGGTGTCCATGAAGCCACTGCAGTTTACTTGCATCTTGAGGCTTAACAAAGGACAGCTGGCGGAGAATGGATTCCGGGATGAGGTGATCGAGCAAGTGTGCGGTCTTCTGTTGGAATATCTCGCTCACGAATCTGCCTCGCTGGCCTTTAGCGATTTAGTGGTGCCCACTGTGATGGCTATTAAAGCGTACCTAAAGGATTGCCGGAATGCGAATTACACTCGCAAGCTGAAGCAACTGCTGGAGAAGATCCAGGAGAGCGGCCGTTTTATAGAGCAGCAGCGCGGTAAGAGCAGCGTTAACTTTGACATAAAGGATGCCCAAGCTGTGGCCGCCTGGGAGCAGCAGCTCCGCCTGAAGCGTACGCCCCTGGACATTTACTACGCCAGCTGGCTGAAGACGCACGAGATCAAGAAGCGACGACAGGCGGCGCAGACGGATGAAATTAACGCAGACTATGATGTGCCCAAGCTGAAGAAGCTGCCACCTAAATCGGGAGTGCCTGTGAGGAATGAGAACGGTGAGGTCGAGCTCTTCCCATCGGACTCGGAAGATGAAGACGATGATGGCCTGCACTTAGGATCAGACGATGAGGACGACGAAGAGGCGGAGGAGGAAGTGGAGGTTGAGGTGGAGCCACCAAAAGCTAAGAAGGCCAAGAAGGAAAAACCCGAAAAGTTGAAACCCCAGCCAGCAGCAGTAGAAGATGATTATGATGAGGCTGGTGGAGCCGTGGATATAGTTAAGGACTTGGATTTGAACGATTGGTAGAACATTTAAGATCAATTTAACTATATTTACACATTAAATTCTTTAAAAATACCAATACTAAATTTACTTCTCCGGCGGCTCCTTGCCAGGAATAAACTCGTACTCCTTGTACTTAGGGAAGGTTCCGATGGTCGGCCCGTCCACCTGCTTGGGCAGCGCCTTGTCGTCCTTGCCCTTGGCGTAGGTGGCCTCCAGTTCGGCGGCATTGCGCTTCTTCATGTCCATGATCTGCAGGTTCTTCACCAGTTCCTCGCGTGTGGGCGGCTCATCCCGGCGTCCGCGCAGCCACGCCTCCCACTCGGCGGTAAGTTCCTGATCGAAGGCTTCCTTATCCGCCGGTTCAAACCACCGCGAGGGCTTCCTCTTTCCAATCGATGGATTTGCCGGAATCTCGTAGTACTTATTTCCGAAATAGTCCTCCCCAATTAAATCCCCACGAAACTGACGCGGCCGCAAGGACTTCCAGAAGTTTTGGAAGATAATGCCGAGTACATCCCGGGTCGGCTTGTTGGCCATGCTTTTTGTTTGATTTATTTTTATTCGAGAGGCGTGAAATTTAAACTTATTTTAGCTTCCAGAGAATTGAGGTTAGGTCTGAAGTTTGTTATGACATGAACAGCTGATGGCAGTGTTGCAAAGTGCCGGCGGGTTTGAATGCCTAATTCAAATTCTTAAATTTGGCTGCAAATGCAAAGCATAAGGACTGAACCAATCCCGCTGGAAAATGGCCAGCAAGTCAGTGCGCAGACTGTTGTTGTTTGAGTCCATGTCCTGAAGGACTAATCCAATGCCGGCCGAGTAATTAAAATGTTCCCCCGACCAGCTGTAGGTACCAATGAAGGCAATGCTATCGGTGACCAAATAGGAATTGCAGCTAACTCTTCCACCGGAAATCCTATCCAGCTCATCCGTTGTGGGGACAACAAAGCGACGCTAAAAGAGAATCGAATCGTCAACAAAATATCAATTCCCTTCGCTTCTAGCAGTTCCCTTTACCATTTGTATGTCCACTTCCTCCTTCGCTTTGTTGAGAGCCTGCAAGGACCTTAAGAAATGATCCTCGCTCGGATCCGAGAACTTCCACCAGGAAATGAGCAGCTTGACGGCCACACCCCGTTCCAAGGCAGCTCTACGCAGGGCATTGTCTATTATGGGCCAATACTCCAGCTTGTTACTGCGCCTCAATTGCGGAGAATAGTCCATCAGGGCGAGGTTTATAAACTCAGTGGCCTTGTCGATAGCTTCTACAATAACATCCAGTTCATGACTTCTTCCAGTGGCCGCCAATCCAGGTGGCGAACTAGCTAAATAAGCCTGCATTGTATGGTTTTTGTTTATGTTCAGCAAGAGGGGTCTTCTCTCATTGATGTGGGTGTGGTACATCCAAGGCCAGTACTCCGGCACCTCATTGCTGCCCATGTACCAATAGGCCTTAAAAATCTTGCCCATGTCTTGGGCCAGATGAGGACAATTTCTGGCCAAAACACCCAGTTCCTTGCGTTGCGTGAGCGATCGCCAGTCCATGCTGGCGCTGCCCAGGTAGAAATGCTCTCCGTCCACCAGCCATAGTTTAGAGTGCAGGAATTTGATGCCCACGACATCGGCTGCTCCGTAGTTGGCAAGGATGCGAGCATCCGCATGCCACAGGCTATCCTGACTGCGATTGAGCACAATCCGCAGTCGCAGCTTGGGTCTGCCGGCATCTCCATTCGAGAGTAGCCGCTGAAAAAGGTGTTCTCCGGGCACGGTACTGGTATCGTTGATGTCCAAACCGCGCAGCGTCCAGTGTGGGGAGACTATGTCCAGCGATGTCTTGGCCCTGCCCAGCAGTAACTGCCAGGAATCAAAGGTGCTCTTCAGTTGGTGGTGGCTCTCCCTTTCCCCTTGACTGTAGTTCAACCCCAGTGGCAGGCTCTCGACTAGTTCGAGTTGACATGGCAACGGATTCTCCACGGGAACGGGTCCGTTTGCGTTCTCATTTTGGTGGATGGTCTCCCAAGGCAACAAAAGAACTATCATCACCAGGACGAAGAGTATAAACACGGGTATGATGTAGCTGTGGTTGCAGCAGCAATCCTTGCGCTCATCCTGAAGTACAAAGTGGCAATTGGGACGACGGCAGCAGGATGTGGCCACTGGAGTCGGTTCGTCCTGTTCTCTGGGCACTGGCTGGTACTCCCCGGGTATCTCGTGCATGGCGAAGGCAATGGGGTCAGGACTAATTCTGACTGACCATTGTCAAACATTTTCTCAGCCGAACCAATTTATTATTCGCACAGTTGTGGGAAAGTATCGCCCGCCCACGCAAACAAACGGAGCGGAGCAGTGTTGGAAATCTATGCGGATGACGTCAGTGCTGAAGGCTTAAATCTAGCCAAATTATACTGTAAAAAATTACATGAATTTTCGCATAAGCAATTTTGGGTGAACTTAACGAACTTTAAAAGAGATCTGCGGTAATGGGTTGGTTGGCTGCCATTTATGATGATAGCCTTCATTTTATGATAACTTGCTATATATGTATATGAAGGTGGAGCCAGCAATCTAATGGCAACATAAATGTTTGTACCGACGCCATAGCGTTTAACCTTTGATTCCGTCATTTAACTTATGGTCCTGATTTAAAAAAATTAGGTGGAAAGGGGCAACCTTTAGAAATGGAATTTCTTTCTGTGAAATAACTGCTAAATTTCTAGCCCCTGCTTATCCAACGAGCTTTTTTCGCAGTGCATCTGGATTTGACGGGAAACTAGCCGACCGGGCACCACTACCGCACATTCGCGCCCCCTACGAACACTGGCCGCCGTGCCAAAGAAGTTAGTCTGTGTTGAAATCTTCCGGCTGAGAGGGCTGAAAATTTTGACGGCTAAAAGTTTCCGCTGCAATATCAGTTCCATTTCCATCGAGTGTATTCGAGTATCGTATAATCAGGACGCGAACAATGGCAGCGAGATTGATGAGCGCCCAGGCACAGGTAGGTTCTATCCCGGAGCCTGTGCCTCCAGCCGATCGGAATAAACCACGCAAATATATGCATATATATATAATCTCCGAACGGCAAAAACCCAAAATCAAAGCTGCGATAAAGACGACTGGAAACACTGCGCGAAAGTTGGCGAAAAATCGTTGGCAATATTCTGCACATCCAGTAGGATGTGGGCATCGAAAAATCGCGAACTTTTCGCACAGCGTTTTCTAACCTAAAAGCAAAAACCCAAAGTTGTTAGGTAACCGAGTACGTAGTGTTTGTGATTCTATAGACCCCCTGCATCCAAAATGGGTTAAATGTAGAACATCGTGCTCCATGCAAAATCGGTGGCATCCAGCAATTAACGACAATTCGCGAGGGTACTACGCCTTTCGGATTTACATAATCGCCTGGGCCGCAGTTATTTAACCAGGAGACCCTCTATAGCATATATCTTCGGGGGGGAGGCCCGTCTTATCTGTGACAGGTGTACTTACACTCTGATAGTGACCGGACTAAATATAGCTTAAATAAATTCCGCTCTTCAAATCGAGTATCACGCGCATTGGAAGAGCCATGCCTTTCGAGTGGGGTTTCTCCACGCACGGCAGCTTCGAGAAGGGCTTCACTGTACTTGCCAACAAGTTAATGACCTATTTGACGTAATTGCCATTGCATTCATTGCGATTTGTTTGTGTGCATCACGTGGCTCAGTTAATTGCCAGGCATTTTTGCAATTTAAAAAGTTGCTCTATCTCTGCATAAACAAAACAAACTGCAATCCCAGCTGTTTTCTATTTCAAAGATATTTTTATTTAAGTATTGCTCTTTAAAATGCCGAATTGTCGTTTTAAACAAGCTAAACTGTTTATATTCTTAGTAAACTTACCCCCAAAAGTTAAATTATTCAGTTTAATCTACCTCCAAAAAACAGTTCTTGAATTAACTTATATTCTTCAATTTTCGTACAATTTTTCGTACTGTTTTCTTATTTTTTTCTCAAATTTTTTGTTTTCTTTTTTAATTAAATTCATAAAAAAATGTACATTTAATAAAAGGCTTCCCAGCTGCAATCTTATAATTTTGTTTGAATGCTTATAGAAAATTTTTAGTCATTCAAAAATAATAAACGTGACAGATACCCTCCAGGATGCTTCTTCTAAATATATTGCCACAGACTAGCGATCTTAAAATAGCAATTGTGTTTAATGTAGAAGCGAAGTCATACATATAGATATTTCTTAAATATGCCCACAACAATAAACGATATAGACCTTAATACAAATTAAAGACAGTAAACGAATGTTGGGATTACTCTAATTGCGTAGTTATGTAAAATATAAAAGTAAACATTTACATAGATAAAGGATAATTAAAGTAAGCATTGTATCATCAGAATGTTTTTAGTGCCACCACTTGCCTTCTGTCTTGGTTGTTAACAAAACATCACGACCTATTGAGATTTGTACATTTCCTGATAAAGCTGTGCCAATCTAATTAAAGTTGAGAGGCCTCCTGACATGATAATCAAGTGTTTATTACGGTCCCCTCGAATCAATCAAATAAGCAAGAGTACAGTGGGTACCGAAAAAAATCTCTGCTGATAAAAAATCAAGAGAACGGCAAATAATAAAGTACATACTGTACTCGTCATGACTGCTAAATTATGTTCTGACACTGTGCTAATTAAGCGATCTTGATCTGATTATTTTCACAGCACAAACAAAAAAATGATGAAAATGTATTGTTAAAAAGAACTTAATTTAAATTGTATTATTTTATATTATAATATTTCAAAATTTTACTTAAACGTCCTCTATTTTCCAGGTGTGCCGAGTGGGCAAGCATGTGGTGGCTGAAGCCCCAGTGGTGCGCCAGTTCCACGCCTCTTGCTACAGCGCCTCCAAGGTGGCCCTGTCCAAGTTCGACTCTGACGTCTTCCTGCCGTACGAGAAGCTGAACAAGCGCCTCGAGGTGGTGCGTGGTCGCCTGAACCGTCCCCTGACTCTCTCCGAGAAGGTGCTGTACTCCCATTTGGACGACCCCGCCAACCAGGACATCGTCCGCGGCACATCCTATCTGCGCCTGCGTCCCGATCGCGTGGCTATGCAGGATGCCACCGCCCAGATGGCCCTGCTGCAGTTCATCTCCTCCGGACTGAAGAAGGTGGCTGTGCCGTCCACGGTGCACTGTGACCATTTAATCGAGGCCCAGGTCGGTGGAGCCAAGGATTTGGCTCGCGCCAAGGACCTGAACAAGGAGGTGTATGACTTCTTGGCCAGTACCTGCGCCAAATACGGTCTGGGCTTCTGGAAGCCAGGCAGTGGCATCATCCATCAGATCATCCTGGAGAACTACGCCTTCCCTGGCCTGCTGATGATCGGCACCGATTCGCACACCCCCAACGGTGGCGGTTTGGGTGGTCTGTGCATCGGCGTTGGTGGCGCTGATGCCGTCGACGTGATGGCCGATATCCCCTGGGAGCTGAAGTGCCCTAAGGTGATTGGCGTCAACCTGACTGGCAAGATCAGCGGCTGGACCTCGCCCAAGGACGTTATCCTGAAGGTGGCCGATAT